CCCCAAAACCCCAAAACCCCAAAACCCCATCTAGTGGCATATTGAAAAAATTTGAAGACTCATATAAGTATTAAAGAATATAAATTGAAATTATATAAGTGTTGACTCCATAAGGCGTAATCTTACTCATAATTTTATCATGCTATTATTGATATTGTTTAGTTTATTTAGTGCTTTCTTGTTCTCAATATTCTTGTTAGACTTGCCATCATTCTTCAACTATTGCTAATCCTGTAACTTATTGTTACTGATGAGACTGATGTCAATACTCTTGCTCAGATTATTTGGCTAATATCCATCTATAACTTGTCTATTTACTGAAAGTCTTTTCATATGTATATTGTTGATATTTTATTGTCTAATTTTCTCTTTGTTTTAATGAAGGTTGTCAATTTCTTTGGCTCTATTAATCATTTTTGTATAGTAATCTTTAGACTTCAAATCAATAGAAGATGCAATATTCATAGAATTTCCAGCATACTCCTCCTATTTGGGAACAGTCGTTTTCTAGATGTATGGATTATTTCTGGTTGGAGAGATGCCTACTTACTATCTAGACTAACTTTTTGACAAGGATTTCAGTAAATTTCCCTTATTCTAAATAGTTTAAACTGGAAGATTAGCTTTAGGTTGTTCTTACTTATTTGGTCTTTGCCCAAGATAGGTCTGAATTTAAGCATTTGTTTATTGTATTGGAAATTAAGTACTCTCCTAACTCTTAAAGGTGAAATCATACCCACCTTGTGATCCATCCTTATTACTTGGACTAAGATCAATTCCAATCATTGCTTCAATACTCTCAATAGTTTTATCACCTTTGAAAAGGGAATGTGGATCTTTAAGATTTCTGAGTTTTTCAAGATTAAAAATACTGTCACCCTTAGTTGCCAGTATTCCAAATTTTTTCTCTCTAATCTTCTTGATCGTTGCTTCTTTAAGCTACTCTCTCATTTTAGTTTCCTCAATTACTTTATTCTTTAATTATTATGATTTAGTACCAGCTGTTTCTTTCTTTATGGTATTGGCATTTAATGTTTGACCATCATCATTTTTAAGATACATATTGTCATCTGCAAGTGAATTTGAATATTTGTGCTTGTTATTTCTACTAATAATAGCAGAATTCTAAGAGTTTACTTAAATTTTAGGACTCTAATCGTTGTTAATGTTATTATTTGTATGTCCAGTATAAGATTAATCTAAGAAGGATTGCTCATTTGGTTTCTTCTCCCTTATCCAGAAAGGCTTGAAATATCCCTTCATTGTATTTTTATAGACCTTCTGATTATCAGTACTCATGTGGACATGGGCAAGTTCAAGGTAATTTGATGATTTGTTTAGCTTTTCCAAAAATTATTCTTAATCCTCTAGACTTTTAGATTCTTACTCTAATAACAGATCAACATTCTAATCAAGAGTACTATCACTCATAGGATAGCCATCATTATTAGTATCATTAGATTTGTAACTGTCAACAAACTATTGATACTACTATTCTTTGAATTTATTTACTTTTTACCTCAGTTCATTAACCTTTTTAATAGCTTCATTAGTTTGATTCTCATGATTAATTCTGAATATTTCAGTGATACACTCCTTGAACTTAGGGTAGTCTAGTATCAAGTCACTTCTGAAGACCTTTTTCTTAAATATATCAGTCCATAGGTTCTTGTCATAAGGCAGTTAGAAATCTGAACAGAATTTAAGGAAGTATTGCATGTTCAATCGATTTTAGTCCTGCTACTGAGAGTCAAAAGTTGGGCACTTGGATAGCTACACACTTTAAATCGCGTAAAACTTGAATATTTCTTAGAGACCTTTTTCTCTTACCTTTTCGAGATCTCTTACCTTTACTTTCTCTGTTTACTGTTGCTATTTCTCCTCCTCTTGTTTCTTTATGAATTCTTCATACTAAGAAGTCTTTGATTCAAGCTATTGAGTTTCTGGTTTAAATTCTACAGGGTTTATTTAACTATTAATTGCTTCAAGTTTCTATCGGAGCTCATCCAATGATGATCTTAATTGATCCTCATCAGTTACTTTTATAGCTTTGTATTCCTTCATTATTTATTTGAAATTCTATACGACTTGCACAGGCTGTCTATGTGAATCAAGACTCAATTACTGGTCTCTAAATTCAACCAAAGTTTTGTAGAACTAATGATACTCCTTCTCAACGTTTAGTTCATCTTGAATCTCTTTCAATTGCTGTTCTGTTTACTCTTACAACTTACTTGAGAGTATTCTATTTAACCCCTCTAGCACTCTCTGATTGTTGAATATAACCATTGTGAATTTTTACAGACTGTCAAGGAAAGCTTATTGAATCAAAGTTAAGTCTTTCTTGATAATTTTGACACCCATAAAGTTTATAAATTCTCTAAAAGACATCATCAATTCCTCCATATAGGGTAATAGTTGTATAAAATTCATAGGTAAGTTCAAATCAGAGTAAAATTATTCTTCATATTAGTATTATAAGATGTCATTGATTATAAGAAGTAAAATATGCTTCTCAATTGGAATTCTCTAGTCTCTAGGAAGTTTAGTGGCTATTTTCACCTCCTCTTTGGCCTTTAACTTTGAGTCTCTTTATATTTCTATGTTTAGTTTACTATTTCTTACTTAGTCATCTCCATCCTCAAGAGGATTCTCATCTTCAGCCAAGCGTTACTTTTGAGTATCATTGATCTCTTTCTTTTTTTATACTTATACCATAAACTTTTAAGAATGTCTAAGTATTATTGATTAAAGCTAAAGCATAGGCAATTGCTCTACAGCCTTACAAAAGACATAAATATCATGAAGTTGCTAGTCTGAAAGTTCTAGCAAATGGTCATCAAAGGGCGATGTTTTTTCTTCAAATTTTTATCTCTCAAAATAATCAGAGTATTCCTAATTCTCCATAATTAATACAAATTTATATAATACGAGATCAAATAAAAATTAGATTTTTAGCACTGATTTATTTTAGGATATCTAAATCACCTGGGGTTTTGGGGTTTTGGGGTTTTGGGG